TCTCTGCTGAGGCTGCTGCCCCCGAGACCTGACCCTGGATAAGAGGAGGAAGATGGACGGATGGATGGATATTATTTATTGTTTTTTTTTTTTAACGTCCTACAGGCTCCGAGATGTAAAATAATTTTAAAACTGAGTTTTTTTAAAGAATCTGTCAGATTTTTGTCCATCTGTAAAATGGAGGAGATCTGTAATTTACAGATAATCTGTAGAATTTATGAGTCCTCCTAACTGGACTGTGTGAGACTAATGGTGTGTTTGTTTCATTGTGAGGAGCCACGCTCTAACAACTGTCTGATTTATGGACTAGCTGTACAGGAGTTTACTCACACAGATTGTTTATGATGTCAGTCATGGTGAAGTGGGCGGTCCTCTGAAGAGGGTGATGTCATGGTGAAGTGGGCGGTCCTCTGANAGGTAACGGCAGCTAACAGCAGGTAACGGCAGCTAACAGCAGGTAACGGCAGCTAACAGCAGGTAACGGCAGCTAACAGCAGGTAACGGCAGCTAACAGCAGGCAACGTCAGCTAACGGCAGCTAACGGCAGCTAACGGCAGCTAACGGCAGCTAACGGCAGCTAACGGCAGGTAACGGCAGCTAACGGCAGCTAGGATTGAGTAAGAGGCTCACAGCTGATTATCCTGATCGATCTGATTTTTTCTCCATCAATAATCACGATGAAATCATCGCCCAGCCCCATGGCAGATACTTTCTATCATAACTTTGGATCTACTTGGCCTAACAACACGATTTAACTGGTTTAAAGTTTGAAGTCTCTACATTTCACTGAGGGTCTCAGAGAGGGCGGAGCTTTACGGGTAGAGTTTTTTTCCTTCCTAAACTTTATTTAGGTCAGCCAGCATTGATATCACTCTGCAGATGATGTAATCAGCTCTGCCACATGGTGAGGGACGCAGAAATCACATGACACAACGAACCGATAATGAAATTTGTTAGTCGCTGAAAGTCTTTAGATTCCTTCACTGACGTATCATCAAGGTTTCTAATCTCCTCCATGAGACGCTCTTCAAAGTTTGACTCCATTTCGTCCAGAAATAACAGCGATTCTCAGCATATCTGCTTGGTGTCTCATCCAAAACTGTATGACGTGAACTCACCGGGCAGTTTATTGTGTGACACCGCAGACGCAGACATCAAAAATTAATCTTGCGTGGACCAGTCTGGTGCATGGCCGTCCGAGTCCGCGTCGAGTCTGCGCAGACCTCCGAGGAGTGAAGTACACCCGAGTATGTGGGGCATTTAGGCTATGAAATTACCAGAAAATGAATGGAGGTCAATCCACGGTCCCCACAGGGATACAAAAACAAACCTTTGTGTATGTGTGGTTTACTCTGTGTTGATGCTCTGCTGGATCCAAGTTCTGAATGTAATGTTTCTGTCTCACTGCGCTTGGTCCTCGCTCTTGTGCACATGGTCCTCTCGTGCACCTCGCCTCCAGTAAACGGTAAATCTGTTGCAGGTTCTCTCCAGTTTTGTTGTTTTCATTGATACTTCATCCATTTAAACCAGTCTCATCCCAAACTGTGTCCAATGATGCACCGAGGAAAATCATCCTGAAACACCTGAAACCTGTAGACCTGGGCTAACACAAACACCTGAAACCTGTAGACCTGAGCTAACACAAACACCTGAGACCTGTAGACCTGAGCTAACACAAACACCTGAGACCTGTAGACCTGAGCTAACACAAACACCTGAGACCTGTAGACCTGAGCTAACACAAAC